AACGGATGCATGCAAGATATCGATTTGAAGTACAAGATTTGCTTATAACAAAGTTTCGTATTATTTGGGTACAACTCAACCTATACTGACTATGCCAGATCGAGACTCGTGGTTATGTTACAAGACGAATATCAAAAGAAATTAAATTTCATACAATAATCTTTTTTTAGTATACTTTAAATGTCTGATTTCGGATGCATGCGTGTGGTTTTTCAAATCATAAAAACAAAAGCACTCGTTTCTTGGTACCGTACCAAGTCGCAGGGCGCTGCATACAACGAAAAGGTTAGCATAAATTATGTAATTGGGACGTACGAGAAGCACCGGGCACAGGGCACAGGGCACAGGGTACCGCGGCACAGGCGATCGATTTGATGATTCGAATACGATTGTACGAGTTCAAACCCGGGTCAACAGCTATCGACATGCTATACGACTTGTTAAAAACAACAATCAGTCATTAATTCCGCACTGTTAGCGCCCTGTGCGAGATTTTTATGGCACACACTTTTTACCTTTTAGGGAGAAGGGATTAACCGGCTGTGACCCTGTTTATTCCTCAGGACTGCCCGCTTTTTTCTCCAAGTCTTAAGAAATATTTTACAAGTTTCACCTAACTTTATAACTTTTAGAAGAAAGTGAAAATGTTTACCACAATATAGCAAAGAAAAGATTTAAAATTTTTCAAGAACCCTTTCATATGAAGCACTTTTAAATTTTACAGAGCGTATTAGGGAAAAGGAAGAAAGAATCTCATAATGCTTGTCGCGGCGCAGCGAGTAGGGTGGAGCCAGCGGTGACCTTGGCCGCCTGATGTTTTAAGGGAAGCTTTTAATGGGGATGAATACATAATTCCGACCATAACTTGAATGTGAAATGCTCTTTAAAACAACATTGCTGTGACAAATTAAATATTTGAGTATTGTAATAATATTTCCTGAATATAAGGAATAATTATTTTATACAATGTTTAATAAGGCTGGATAGTAATTTATAGAGAATTAAATTGATCATTATTATTAACATCATCTAGAGCTTAACAATCTTGGTCTCCATTAAGCGTTTACAAACATTGAAACTGTTACACAGCCTAGTAATATCCACTTAAAAAATTCCACAAACAAACAGTGCATTAAAACGCACCCTATCTTTGCTGGTAGTCTGCGGCCGGCGACCCGCGCCCTAGATCCGACTGACCCAGTTCCCGCGTGCCAACCGCGCCCCCCGCGCCCGCTCACCTGCGAGCGATGCCCCCGCGGAAACAAACCGTCTTCACACTTTTATAGGGTATTGCTGTTTAATATCTTATGCCTGAAGGTCTCACGGAATCGAAGCTTTCCACGAGGGTATTGTTTTGAATAAACTCATTTGTAGTATGAGCTAGGGATGTAAGGTCAGACGATAGACATTACATACCAAAGGAAAATTCAATTTGTTTTAAGTTTCAATGTCAGTTGCTTGATTCTAGAAAATAAACAAACCATTTACATTTTCACATCAACGTTTTAATTTTCCCCAAAATAAAAATAGTAACTATAAGATGTTATAAAGTCCAGTATTTCCTAAAGGAAAGACCGCTATCGATTTCCAGACCTTTCAGAAAGCCTTATTAACTGTCGGCTAACGAGGCGGTCAGCTGCGGAGAAACTGTCTTAGCCATTCTGAGGACACTAAAACAATCTCAGGCTATTTAGGTCAAGCACTTATGTTCTTAGCTCTGCATTTTTACATTTTACTAGGTTTTAAAATGTGGAAATAGAATCAATTATTTTTCTTAAAATACTGAGACAACCCTAGTATGACTAGGATATAAGCAACCACGCTGCCCCACTGCAGGTTGACTTCAACTTAACAGATTTGTTCATTATTTTTGTATTAATTTTATTTCGCTGGCCAAACACGCTATGCTAGTTAGTTAACATAAGTTCAAAGAAAGGCAAACATCCCGATAGCAGGTCCTGACCTAATTCCCCGGACCGTTGTTTAGTTTCCCGCCCGACCTGAGCCTGGCCAAGATAAAGAATGAATTAAACAACAGCCTGCCTCTAACCCTGCTCACAGAGTCAGTATTTATTCTAAAATTAATGCTAACACTTAACCCTGCATACATAAAACTTTGAAAAACAAAATTTGAAATATCCCAAAACGTGTGTATATGCATTTATTAACTCAGAACTATGTATATTTATTGTTTTTATTTTATAATCAAATAAACATTATGATTATTTTCCGTCCGTTAAGAATCACCCTGTATGTTTATGAAGCATTTCTTTGAGACATTTCCTTTTTATAAGAACGCATACAAGAGTGTGTAATAAAGTTTAAGTGGCACTCGACCGCGACATTTACTTAATAGTGTCAGATATAACATAAAGATAAGTTATACCAACCAATATAACTTAGCTGATGTGACCTGTATCTTTTAAACAGGCTCCGCTAAGTAATTCCTGCGAGCTTAGATAGATCGGCCGAACTGAAACATTGCTCAAGACATACCGCCCTACTTACCCAAGCCGCCCTTTTTAGGCCAAAACCAAATATTACCTATAAACTCCGCAAATGTTCGAGTCATTTCCATAATGTACTGACCCGAAATCTTTGGACCAACGGCTGTTAAGATTTAATATTAATGTAGAGTGTGAATGGATAGAGTATACCTACGTATTCAACATATTTGACCAAGTCTAAGTTACTTGTATTTAGTGATCATGATAAGTGACATAATCTTTAAATTAATTAGGCTTCTGAACAAAAACAACTTGTACGAAACAAGATATTCAAAATAAAAAGCAACATAAGTAAAGTATTGTAATAAAGTAGGCGTTAATAAAACGAAATTGGCGCGAACAACTCAAGTGTCAATAAATGGCGCGAAAAACACAATATGCTCGACCCCGAAGCGAATAAAGGAAGTAATGCAACCTTCCACGTCCATCAAATACTCACTGCAAGAGATTAAACGCCTGGCCTTCAGGCGCAGGATATTGGAGTGGAGAGGCCGCGAAAACGAACACACGATTGCATATAAGCCGAGAATAATGACAGATCAGAAAGGCCCAATCTATTTCGAGGTTGACATGGGAATAAGCTATTTGATTCCTTTTATAAGACGAATGTTTCATAGATACTGTTTATTGTACGTTGGTTATTTTCTTTTAAGTTATCCCAAAATAATTGATGGAAATTTTATCTTCAACAACTATAAGCAGGGCAGTTTCTAGCAATACCAGCGTCTTGAGCGCACCTTACTCTAAGGCTGTTACTGATTTAAATTAAATTTAACTACTAATTTTAAAATTGCCTTAAATAACCTCTTTGCCTCCAAAATAAAAAATAACAAGCTGATATTGCAATTCATAGTGAATCATATAGTTCCGGATCAGAATGTTAGCTATGATCAAAAAGCGATAAATATCAGATATCTGTTAGTCGGCGAGGCGTAGAGACGCGTCATGACTCGATCATTCGCTTAGCATTGTGATGGTGATAAGTTAGCGCCGCCTCCCATCAATTATGTCTGCAGTGACGCGACGCTTTCCTCTTGTGAGGAATTGATTTATGGCATGTTCTTACACAGATTTCGACTTAAGTGATGATCTTTGAATCAATTTTATTCCTATTACTCGATTATTTTATTGCTAACATATTTAGCTGTGGTCGGAAGTGGATACGGTAAAGACCTAACTACAGTGTTTCTATTTATAACTAAACTAGCTATTAGTCGCAACTCCGTCCGCTTAGTATTAAGAAAATCATACGAACTATGAAAAACTAAGTAGGTACCCCTCGGAGACTTTACAGTTTTCAGAGATGAACCGTGTCCCTCTATATGTCACTCTAGAATTTATCTCATATCTATACCTAAGATGTTATGTTGAATGGTTGCAGAATAATGGAGTTATCACAAAAAGACTAAATTAATGTATCTCACGGGAATCGTAATTTTTAAACGTTAAATTACATTTTGATTTGAAATACCTCTTCTTTTTACTTTTAATACAAATTTAAAACAAATTCAAAATAATTTTCATTAATTCCAACATCAAAAATACAAGGAATTTAAAAATGATTTTATTTAAAAACATGTCCATCATTATTGAAAAAGAATTTATTCTTAAATGTTGCTTCATTTTAAAATACGAAAATCATTTTTTATTATAAATTATTAGCAAACTCATTTTAAAAATTGAAACTTCATTTTTAAATGGTAATAAAAACA